GAAATTTTCTGTGTAAATTATAATTTAGCTGAGGAAATTAACAACTAGTTGAGATTTTAAAGAGTTCTATTGTGTTTTGGGACTGTATGGAAATTATTTTGAGTTTTGGCAACAGACCCAGAGAGACGAGTCGTCCCTGGTTCTGAACATGACATTGCAGTTTGTCATTAGGGGGGAAATTGAACCTTTCAAGTTCTTCCTTCGGTCTTTTCTACCCCAACTTTCAGCCTGAATGGTCGTTTTAGCTGCTAAGCCTGCTTGAGTCCTAGGATTCGCCTTTGTACCTAAGGGATTTTGGCTGCAGTTTTCGCGTGGAATCCGTTTCTTTGGTTTACTGGATAAACCGCAAGTTGTGCTGGAGGCACGTGTAATTTTGGATTTCCACAAACCTTTTTGTAAGGGATTTTTGACCACGTGACTGGTAAGTTATCTTACTTTTGCTGCCCAAGAACCACATGGTTCTTGGCTACACATTTCCATACTATTACCTAGTTTCTCGTCAACTTATAGAGAGTTGGTCCCAAGGGCTTATATGTCCATTTTTGTCCTGCCTTTCCGCCGTCTTACGTGTGCCTTGATGGTGATATTAGGGAGATATGCCCTTTCGACAATTACGGTGTTGCCGGATGAGGAAATGATGTCCTTAGGCGTTGCAGGAATGTGATTGTTGGAAGGTATGTTTTTATCTATTTTTATATATTAGGGAGGGAATAAAATATAGGGTTTTTGCTTAATAAAATCTAGATGATGGGCTATTATGAAAGCGCCATTTGTGTGACGTTAAGTTCATTCTAAATGTGCAGACTTCGTATACCCGGCTTGTCGAGGCCGTCTAGTGCTAGTCTTTGTGCTGTCAAAGCTAGTTATAATTTAATATAGTTCTGGAACTAAGGCTGAATACCTTTTTCTAGGGCGTTGTTTTGGTTGGTGTCTTGTTCCGGTGTCTGATGTTGATGTCTAAATCAAGTCTAGTGTTTGGTGCACAATGCACGTAGCTAATGGGTAGCAGTAGCAGCTGATGTAGCTTCTGGACGTTTCTCATCCTTTCCAGGCTGGTTGCTGTTTTATTTCACCAGCAGGATCGAGTAATGTATAACTGCTCTATTTTATTTCTTACATAATAATTAGAATGATGCTCAAGAGTTGAATGTTACTAAGGTAGAGTGTTTTATTATATATCTAGTTACATATTTTCTTGGCATTGTCATGCTATAAATATAATCGTCTTGCGCCTGGTATACCATGGTATTTTAGGGGATGATTTTTCATATTTATAATTAAAGTTTAAATGTCTAGCGTAATTGATTAATTGCCCTTATGTAATCAATACGTTGACATTATTTGAACACGACTTTATTATTTAGTGTAATATTTTGATGTCGATTATTATTGTTCTACATCTATTTACATTTCAATTGTTACCTGTTATCTATTGCCCAAAGCTACATAGCTTTAGTAATTAAATATTGTCCTTTGTTTTGAACCTGACTTTTATTGATTCCTTCTGCTGAGAACAATGCCCAGGTCCAAGAGACCCATGTTTAGTAAGTACTACTATACTTTCTTTATCATTATATTTTTGAGCTAGCTGGTGTTATAACTGGGAAATTTAGGTTATAATATACTATTTTGATTTGGAAATTGCATGAGTTTTTTATTGGTTTTACCTATGTCAAGGTTTGGTTGAGTTTTATGCCTTATTTATTTCGTTTTCAGAATTATCCATTACCGTTTTTTGATTATTTTTTTAGGTGTGTTTCTGAATTTTCACACTTCAATATTTTATGTAATTTAATTATTTTTTTTTTTTTACAAATTCAGTGGCGCCCTTGCCATGCTGTCCTTATTAAACTATTGACCCACCCCTAATAATTATACGCTGAGCAAACTGAGCATATTATGGGCCTCTTGTTAATTCATTAACAAAAGGGGTTACATAAATTTGAACACCGGCATTCTACAAGCCTTCATTTCAACAAAAGGTGGATTACGGTAGCCATCCAGCCATCCAGTTTCTGTCACTTGACGAGGGAAGTTGCAGACTCTAGCCATGAATCAAGGTAGATAGAGGCTAGAAGTTCTCAAGTATTGTCAAAGGTGGAGGAACAGGAGTCAATACGTGAGGGACTTGATTCCTCTGGGAATCTCTTCAAAAGCTCTAGGCCATGCTCCACGAAAATTGTGTTCTTTTAAAAATGTGGGCTTTTTGGAAATGGATTCGTTGAGAGAAACGGCTCCTCCGAAAACCTTAAGTGATAGAGGCATTTCATGAACAACCATTCCTTTGAAAAAATTAAGGACTTACCACGAGGGAGTTCGAAATTCAAACTCAAATAAAACGGTAATCACAAGACTTCTGATTTAAATTTTTTAGTTACTTAATGGATCATTGCCTTACGCAACTTTATTCCGTTGAAACAGTGCCTGATGGCCGATAATGTATTTTTCCTACAACTGCCTCTGAAAATGGAGTTTTTCGCACGCTAGGCAACCTCTGAAATTAGGGTTTTTTTGCACGCATTTCAGCGTGCAAAAAAGTTTTCTACACGCTCCTCAGCGTGCGAAAAAGTTTTTCACACGCTTCAAGTTTTCTAACAAATGAAAATTACATATTTGGTTGTTTTATTTTGCAGTTGTAGGAAAAGTGTTGTAAAAAACTTGTTGGAAAACCTTTTTTCACACTCGCTCGACTTATGGAACTCGCTTATGGCTCGGTTCAACAAACTGTCTCGCCATGCGAAAAAAGTCGTTTTCAAAACTTGTTGTTTAAATAACTATTTTTTCACTAGAACGGTAACCACACTTGAGGAAGATGGCTGCCCCCAGGCCAGAGTCGACCTATCAGGGTGAACCGCAAACATTGAAAGGGCTGAGGAAAGAAACGGATCAGATGAACAGGGAGAGCTTCTTCTCAAAAAACCGCCAACAGGAAGTGTTGGTCAAACTTAAACGAAAATCGTCCCTCTAATTCAATAATTGCTAATAAGTCTGTTTCTGCAGAAATCACAAGCCAGTCAGAGCAAATTTCATTGGTTGAAAACAGTCAGAAAACTAGTTTCAACCAATGAAATTCACTCTGACCTGTTTGTGATTCCTACAGAAACAAACCTGAAATCATTAGCAGCCGACACCTTTTTTTTTAATGCTAGTAACCAGACTGTCAACATTGAAGGTAATAATTTAACTTATACAATAATATTTGAAAGAAAAAAGAAACAAATACTAACAGTAGCATTTCACATGCTACAATCACCTCCTTCAAAAAATGGAAAAAAATATATGTAGTATTTTTTTTAAAGATATCTACAAGCCTCCATTCCAATAAAAGGTAGATTACAGTAGCCATCCAGTCATACAGTTTCACTCACTTGAAGTTGCAGATTCTAGCCTTCAATCAAGGTGGATAGAGGCTAGAAATTCTCAAGTATGATCAAATGTGGAGGTACAGGAGTCAATACGTGAGGGACTTGATTCCTCTAGGAATCGCTCCAAAACCCCTATGCCGCGCTCCACAAAAATGGTGTTCTTTTAAAAATGGATTCGTTGAGAGAAACGGCGGCTCCTCCAAAAAAACGACTCCTCAGAAAAACGGCTCTCCGGAAAAACGGCTCCTCGGAAAGTGTTGGTACTACACTGGTACTTCAAACTTAAACGAAAATCGTGCCCTCTAGTTTAACCATAATTGGTAATATCATTAGCAGTAGAAACCAATTTTTAATGTTAGTCACCAGACTATCAATATTTAAGGTAATAATTTAACTTGTAAAATCATATTCAAAAGAAAGGAACAAATACTGACAGTAGCATTTTACATGCTACAAGACGCCTCTGTATTTTCACCTGAAGGAAAAATAGCAATAAAATAGTCAACAAACAAACAAACAAATAGTAAAATAAACGAAAACTTAGGATCCCCAACTCTTGGATCTTTATAAAATATGTTAAAGGGACACAACTCGCTGATCTTTATAAAATATTTTAAAGTTCCTTCACTCGCGGAGTGCAGACCTTTATACACTTCCAAATATATAATATACCTACCCATTAACAAGAAAGACAAATATAAAAGGAAAGATGAAAAAACAAAAATTACTTTTTAAATTTTGGGCAACAATTTTCCTTTTTACAGTTTTGATCCACCTTGCAAAAAAGTATCTATTTAGCAAATTATTGCTACCAAACAACTTTGAAATACAGTACAATCTCGATAATTCGAACTTATTACTGCTAAGGTCAGTCTGGATTACCGATTTGTTCGGATTATCAAAATGCTTGGTAAATTTACCTTAAATATGCAAATAATCAAAAATAAGCTTTATTTTTTAAGACAAATATAAATGTACGTAATTAACTCTGAGTTTAACTTAGGTTAGACGAGTAAAACAATTATGTAATGTACTTTTTTTTGCTCCATACTGGCTGTTTCTCCCATTTCCGCCTTCTTTTTCATTTCTTTGAGGGCCGGTTTATTCACCTTTTGATAAGTTGTCAGGTATGCAATCTGACGAATAAAAAGGCAATCTATAATCCCATTGGTTGGCCAGTTATCTGTCGACCAATAGAATTATAAAACAGTAATTTTATCTTGCAGATAGTTAGGTATCAGGAAGATGAATAAACCCAGGAATAAACCGAGCTTTAGAATGAAAATATTCTCAGCTGTTTCAAAATTTTGTTCTACTCATTTTAAACAAGTCTGAAAACATTTTACTGCTGCTCTGTGAGTCACGTTGGTAGGTACGATTTGGTCAGAATCTTCTGATCCGGCTTTGAGAACATTATTACGTATTAAATTTTATGTAGCGCGCGTAGCGTAATGCGGTTTTCAGCAGTTGTTCGGAATATGCCTTCGAGTGTTCACTGTTCAGATTAGTGGAGGTTCAGATTAACGCATGGTCGAATTATCGAGGTTGTACTGAATGTATGTATTATTTAAAAATTTCAAGATCATCAAATCAAGCCGCATTTACTTGTTCAATAAAAAAGTGTCTTTTTCTTACCTGGTACACAGAGCCACTTGATCAGGATCGTGTTTCAAAGAGCATTTTCCTTTGTCTTTCCCCTTGCATAAACCATACTTCCTGAAAGTAATGCAAGGAATGTTGCACTTTCTGAATTTCCTCTCAGACATTTTCTTCTTTTTGAAACTTTGTTTTCTACAAAAGAAAAATATGTAGTTGTACCAATTATTATACTTGGACTCACAAATAACTCACCTAACAACTTTAAACCTTCTCATTTCTAAAAGTTTCTTATTTTTCTTATAGGGTGAAATTGATTTATTGATAAGTTTGTAATGAGATTGTAAGATTTTCCTTTTTCCTCCAACAACAAGATTCTTATTTTTTGTTGATGAAGTAATTGACTTATTAATAAGCTTATACCGAGATTGTAAAATGTTCCTTTTTGTTCCACCAACATTTTTAATTGATTTATTAATAAGTTTGTAATGAGATTGCAAGATTTTTCTTTTTTCTCCAATAAGATTGTTATTTTCAGAATTAATAAGTTTATACTTAGATTGTGAAATCTTTCTCTCTCCAACATTGTTTCTAATTGATTTATTAACAAGTTTGTACTGTGATTTTGAAATGTTAATTTTCTTAGGTTGTTCCTTTATGCTACCAATTGAAGCTCGTCTTAGTGAATTTTTTGATTTCTTATAAATCCTTCCGTTGATATTCACAACACTTGAAGCACTCTTTTTAATTATTGTTGATTTTACTAAAGCACTCAAATTTAAAAGATTATTTTTTGGAACCAATGATTTCCTCTTATCAATTTTAAATTTATTTTTAGGAGTCAATTTCCCAATTCCAGATTTTACAATTTTGTACTTTGAATTAACAGACCTACGTCTCGGTTTTTTATCTGTATTTGGTGGAACTCGTATAAGCTTGGTTTTAGTTAAAACAAACGGGATATGTTTACTTGCTCCTGCTAGTCCTGCTGAACTTCCAATGCATATATTGTGAGTTTTTAAATCTATTATCTGTTGGTTTGCTTCTGAATTAGCAATAGGTACATTCTGAGGTTTTAGATCTATAATCTGTTGGTTTAAACATTTAGGTACATTTTTAGGATTAATATGTACACGAGGATTAATGTGAATAGTAGCTGCAGCCTTTTGTTTATTGAAATTTGGATTTACAAACACTTTGTTGGCCATAAATTTCGGATTGAATAAAATCCTTTGGGATGGTACTTGTTGCTGCGAGGGCACTTGTGGCAACTTTTTAACGTAAATTAACCGATTCGTCTTGGGTATTTGAGGAGCCTCCTGATTGTAATGAGAATGAGCCCCATATTGAGGATATCCATATGCTAGAAAGTATATGGAATTCAAATGGATTTTCATTGGGGGATTTGCTACTTACGTGCATTATTATTATTATACATTGAAGGTTGTTGATTTTAATTGTTTTGAAGTCGGGGTTTTCTTTTTTTTTATTACAAAAGTGGAAGGACTCAAAAAGTATTTTTATTTTTTTATTTTTTATGAATCAAATGAGTCATGTCTCATGTGCGTGACAGCGTGACTGTCAAAACTCAGAAAATCAAAGCACTGTCAATTGTCAAAGGTGTTTTCATTTCATTTATCATAGCTCTGATTCAGTAACACATAGTTGTATTCCTTTCAAGAGTTTGAAACACTCGAGCTAGTCGCTCCGGTGCTTAGTCGCAGCACCGGAACTGTTCCGGAGTTCCTCCTAGATGTGAAAGAAATACAACTACTATCAGGTTGTTCATTGTACTTGCTCCACCTACTCGAAAATCAGAAAGATCTACTAGGAACTGCTATTTATGAGTTTTTAACATATGGGACAAGTGAACGCCAATCTGCTGAGATCTGTTTGAAGCAAGAAAAGCAGTACAAATGAACATCCTACATTAAAGCAGCATTTTCGAATGATTGACCAATGACCATTCCAGAATAACCTGTGGCATTACGTAACTCTGAGGGGCAACTGATAATTTTGTTGTCAAATTTAAAGTTTCCACTTGGGTTAAAAACGGGTGGAAAAATGTTAAATAATAATCTTTTGCTGGATTGCCTGGGCTGCGTTCAGGAATGGCTATAGCCAAGCCAAAATTGGCATTTTGCGTTCAAGTTCGGCTTCAACCTACGTAGTTCGGCATTACCGTGGAGGGAAGTTGGTTTTGGCTTTAGCATTGCCATCCCTGAACGCACCCCTGGATTATATGTTGTGTCAATTCTATTATACTCCCCTAACTCCCCCACCATCAAATACTGGGATACTCGAGGATCAAGAACACAATTTCTTCTGTAAGAACAGACCGAAAATCACGTTTTCTACATTTAAAATTGCCGAAAAAATTAACTCACTAACACAGCCTGAATCGCAAACATTCCATCGAGGTCTGCGGATGACGTCATCACTATGAGCTACTCATATTGACGTCACTCGCAGACCCAGAATTTGATGGAGAGGGAGTTAGGGAAGTATGACACAATTGAAGCATCACCTAACCCAGCATAATCAGATTATGCTTGCTTGATTCTCCTCGTGAAATTCCCTGCGTTTTTCTTCTCATCAGATTTTCTCGATGGATCTACCATTCTATTTCAGTCAATGTCATTTTCCATTCATTAAACAAAGATAGCTATAACTCATCGGTGAAGTCACCGATTAAAATAAAAACGAGGGTTAGGCAAATAGGCAATCCAACCACCCTATTCTAATCTAATCTAACCTCATAAAAATTTCAAAATGCGGGCGGTTTGGCAAAAGTCACGTGACGTGATTGAATTTCCCGAATTCCCTAATTTAGATCAGCGCTATCAGGATATTAGAAAGTTCTCGTGCTTCACACGCTACGGTAATACGGTACCGCTAACAATACGGTATTTCACATGGTATTTTAGAGTTCTCGGACACGAAGACACATAAATCCTCTAACCCCTTATTCCATTTACATTTTGACAGCTAATTTGAGTGATCTAACCCAACTTTTTTTTTGCTTTTTCTCTAACTTTTATTTATCCTGAAGATTCCTGAGTTTGATTAATGTTCCCTTGGTGTTTTTATGGAGGAATTATTAGAAGTTTTTGCAGACATAAATGGAGCGTAAACTAGTTTTGACATAGCATAGCGTTATGGTAAGGCATCCGCTAAGTTCCCTTAGATATCGGGCTCCGCTAACGCTAGTACCGTAAGAACTGTCTTACTTGTCAAATAGCGTTACGGTATTTGAAATTTCGAAGGCACGAGAACTCTCTATTAATTTGAATCTGATTTTTAAGCCTAGTACTCATAACTGCGAAATTCGCAATTTTTTGACATTGCGTTGACAATTTGACGTTTTATGCGTATATCAAACGTCAAATTGTCGAAGCAATGTCAAAAAAATGCGAATTTCGCAGTTATGAGTACTAGGCTTTATAGGTGTAAAATACACTTAAAACTTCCGGCGCTTTCGACTTTTGCCTGAAAACTGCACCCGATTGATCAAAAAGCGATCGGGAACGGATTCACATGTTCGATTTAAAACGGAGCATTGCTCTCGGCGAGATTCACGTGTTCGCTATTGAGCTATAGAACGCTCTCAAATCTCGCACGGAGCGCTCTTTCTTGTTCCGTCAAATTTGATGGATAAAAGAGTTTGATCAAAACAATGAAGTGAGTTCAGCTATTAATTTCAAATAGTGTACCCCCAGCCAAGGTTCCCATCAGCCCAAGGTTGTTTGAGAGAACCTTGGAACCTTAGGACCCTTGCCTCTAGCTTTGTTAGGCAGGGTTCTGCATAATATCCTTGAGGCTCTGCCATTAGTTGTATTTCTTTCAAGAGCTTATAACACTCGAGCTACTCGCTCCGGTGTTAGTCACCCCCGATTTGAGAGGAACAGATGTGCGGTGCAAGAAACACTTTTCTTGGAATTAGCACGTAACGCCCCGGAGCTGTTCCGGAGCTCCTCCTAAGGTGTGAAAGGAATACAACTATTGAGGTGTCTGCTATCAACCCAGGGGCGAGTTCAGTTGGAAATGTAAAAATATAGACAGGGCATGCCACGCCGCTGGTCCCGGTAGACTAAACTTAACCTCTCGAGCATCTCCTAAAAAAATTTAACCAAATGAATTAGGATTACTTATTACTTTTTTTTTTGTTGTTAATTTTTTCAATAGCGACTAATCACACCGCAGCCAAACGATAAGAGCCAAACCAAAAAATTATGGTGTGACCGTGACCGGTGCGACACCTGGAGCGCGCCCGAAGTACTTTCTGAACGGAACAGAGTGCGCGCCCTCGGTGTGCCTATAGCATTAGCCGCTTACCAGCTGTGTGCTTCAAGCACGGTGCAGCACAGTGTTCTGTGTTTGAAGCGCAAAAGATAGCAAGCTCTCGAAGCGCAGTATGACTGGAACACGAACACGCGCTTGAAGCATTTGCGCGCACAAAAGCTCGATTGCGTGCTCAAAACCGTCAGCTGGAAAGCGTCTATTGATGAACGGCTAGTGCGTCGCACTACTGGAGTGCGTTCAGAAATGGAGTGTGGGGGTTGAGTAATTTTTTGTCAGTGTATTCTGACGTCATCACTTGGAGTGGACTCTAGGTGCGCTATTTTTGAAAGTATTGGGGCGTTGTAGTAAATGTTAACGTCAAACTCGGTAAAAACCACGGGGCATTTTTCAACCCAGTCCCTGAGTGGAGTAATTTGGGCGTACTCTGGGCGCGTCAACTCTCGATTTCTGAACGATTCTAGCGTAACGCTCCGAGTAAGCACCTGGTAAATTATTAACGGCTCAGAGTTACTCTAGGGTCACTCTCACACCCACAGTGCTATTTCTAATCGCAACCCTGGTATCACACTCACACTGAGTGTGTCATTCCTGAACTCATCCCTGAATAAAAGTAGTGACAGAGCAGTTTTTTATTAGATAGAAGCGATTGCTCGCGGGGCGAATGGTTCAAACTACTGTTTAAAACCAATTTGTAGATGACGTCATCACTTGTTAACGCGAGAAAATGAAAGGTTTGATCCACAGTCTTCTGTCAACGGAGAATAAGCTATGAGTCCGGTTCGAACTTTTTTGAACCAGGTTCAATGCGACGTCACTGGTTCAACGCAAGAATGTACAGGTTCAAACCCAATCGAACCGGATCGAACCAGTTCCACCGCGAGAAAACAGCTTGAGTGTTCTATGGTGCAGAGTAATGGGAGCAATGAATTGAACCGTAATATTATTATTTTTGAAGTAAAAAAATTAAAAACAAGTGTGCCCTATGTGCGCATATTTGAAGTGAAACTTCAAGCGTAGTTCATAAACCGTGCGTTCGGCATTTTGATCCTGAGTTCTCCCAGCTTAAATTTACCGTTGGTTTATCAAAAAAGTGTGCTCGATGCATGTTCATGTGCGTTCGTGTATTAAAATTTCAAACCTCTGATACAGCGTTTAATTGCTCTGTGACTGTGCGCTTGCTAGTCACATGATTACGGATTTCGGCTACGTTTCAGCACGCTCTGCTTTTTGAGCAAAATACCAAACGCAAGGATATTCCTACTTTTATAATGGATATTTTTTAGAATTCACCATATATAATTTACCGGTGCAAACAAACGGTAGAAGTCAAAAATTCCGGTGGATAAAAGTGCAGTGTCAAGTGTTTGAAATGCTTTAGTTGAATCTACCGGTTTTTAGAATGCCGTCGTGATTTGTTCTCACTAATGTAGGACCTCGCTACTTGCTCACTTTACATTTACAGAAATATGTTATCACCTTCTTCAATTAGAACATTTCCTTCTTCGTTCTCTACAAGTATTCAAAAATCGGGATCCATAGCTTGAAACTCAATATTCAATTGATTAGCACTTTAAGATACAACCACAAGAAAAAAAAAACTTCAGAAACATCATAGCATATGTCAAAATTCTCACAATTCCAGCTAAAAAAACCTGAGCTGTTTTCTCGTGGTGGAACTGGATGGATCTGGTTCAATTAGGTTCGAACCAGAACATTCTTGCGCTGAACCAGTGACGTCACGTTGAACCTGGTTCAAACAAATTGGAACCAGACTCATGGCTTATTCTCCGTTGACATAAGACTGTGGTTCAAACCTTCCATTTTCTCTCGTTCACAAGTGATGACGTCATCTACAAATTGGTTTCAACCGTAGTTCGAACCATTCGCCCAACGAGAAAACGCCTTTGGTGGAAGCGGTAGAGGATCGATAAAATGGGTAAAGCCTAGTACTCATAACCGCGAAATTCGCACTTTTTTGACATTGCGTCGAAAATTTGACGTTTTATGCGAGAATCAAACGTCAAATTGTCGAAGAAATGACAAAAAAGAGCGAATTTCGCTGTTATGAGTACTAGGCTTAAGACACCGGTGAATTTAGAAACGCTTCAATTTTGTTAACCGGTTAATTTGAAATTCCACGGTGCAGACCGGTCAAGTCAAAACCGGTTGATCTACCAGTTAAATCTGAAAGATATCCAAAAATATCCAATCCTGTGATACTCCAAAGGAATGTGAGGTGGTGGCTCCCCTAGAATAATAGTTTTTTTCCTTTCATTAGTTTAGATTACTAGACCTACTCGCTCCGGTGTTAGTCGACCCCGATTTGGAAGGAACAGATGCGCTGGCTTTCATGCATTTAAATGGTGAGTTCGGGCTTGAGCACTTCAGGTGCGACAAACACTTTTCGAAAGGAATAAGCGCGTAACGCTCCGCAGCTGTTTCGGAGCTCCTCCTCGGTGTGAAAGGAATACAACTAATACATACTACTACTAGATGATAGCCTATCCTCATAAGGCCTGTTTAGTTGAAATCTCAAGCCCCCGACCATGCTATAGCACCAGTGATGACGTAGACAGCGTGTCGTTTTCTTGCCGTGACGTAGGGTGTTTGTACCACAGGTTGTGATTCCGAAAGATGACAAAGCCGATCGCGGCTATTGACCGCGGGTTGTTTCGAGCTGGTTTTTTCGCGAGGTAAATTAGGCATTTTTGGGTCTGCGAGTGACGTCACGATCAGCAGATTATAGTGATTACGTCATCCGGAAACCTCGATGAAATGCTCGCGATACAGGCTGTGCTAGTGAATTAATTTTTTCGTCGATTTTCAATGTAAAAGAGGGGATTTTCGGTCTGTTCTCACAGAAGAAATTGAGTGTTCTTGATCCTCAATTATCCCAGAATTTGATGAGGTAGGGGTAGGGGACTATGACACACATCACATTACATTACTTAGCTAATCAGATTGCGATTATGCTTGATTATCCTCGCGAAAATTTGCTTTTGAATTTTAGAGCATACTTTATCGGTGTAAAATACACTTAAAACTTACAGCGTTTTCAACTTTTCTGTCAAAACTTTACCAGAATGATCAAAAAGTGATCCGAAACGGATTCACATGTTCGGCTTAAAACGAAGCGAGGTTCACGTGTCGCTGTCAAATCTCGCACGGAGCGATCCTCTTGTTCCGTCTAAAGCCTAGTACTCATAACTGCGAAATTCGCTTTTTTTTGACATTACTTCGACAACTTGACGTTTGATTCACGCATAAAACGTCAAATTGTCGAAGCAATGTCAAAAAAGAGCGAATTATTTCGCAGTTATGAGTATCGTCAAATTCGATGGATCAAAGAGTTTGATCCAAACAATGAAGTACGTTCAGTTATTGATTCAAAATGATGTGCCCCCAGTCTTATTAGGCAGGGTTCTGTACTGTATAATATCCTTGGGGCTCTGCCACGGAGGGTTCTGCTATCAACCTGAATAAAAGTAGAGCCAGAGCAGTTTTTTTTAATGTTTTTAGAGTAGAGTTAGGAGAGCAATGAATGAATTAGACCCTTACCTTACGAGCTTTTGGAGTAAAAAAGTTAAAAATAGGTGTGCACTATGTGCGCATATTTGAAGTGAAACTTCAAGCGAAGTTCATATAATCCCAAGGATAATACACACTACTACTACAGTTAACTACAGGATAGCTTATCTTCATAAGGCCTGTGTAGATCAAATCGCAAGCCACCCACCACACCAAAGAACCAGTGATGATGTGACAGCGTGTCGTTTCTCACCTTGACGTAAGGCGTTTTCACCACAGGCTAGAGATTATGATTTCGCGGGCTTTTGGTTTATGCATACTTGGTTTTAGTACATTAATTATTATTCTGTAACACCGCTTTTCTATATCTCGTTCACATCTTTCTCTCTGCCTATAATCAAAATTAAATAATATTTTTCATCATAGATGTATATTTATTCTAAATTACGACCGTTGGCGCAAACAGCTGACGACGTAGTTTATGACGTCGTCAATGGTGCTACACAATATGGCCGCGATTCCCAAAAATGAGGCCGATAATAAGCAATAAATAATCCTGTGTAGTATTAAACCTGTTTTGAAACAGTTTCAAAAAAGTGTATGCGAGAACACAGTGGTGTTTTCTCGCGTCTCGAAGTTTTGAAACATTTTTCAAAACACAATCACATTTTTTTTTGGATTAGCAGGCAGAAAGTTAGTTTTGAGAGTTCCAATATTCAATCTGAGAGTAGATTGGAGAATTGTGCGTTAGGTGATCTCAGAGCAGCAGGAGGCACAAGCATATTACACACTACTACAGGATTGCTTATCGGCCTCGTTTTTCATATGATGTAGCAAGTTTGGCGACGTCATTAACTAAGTCGTCAACTATTTGCGCCAGCGGTCGTAGTTTAGAATTTAAAATAATGAAATATATTATTTAATTTTGATTAACATAATAGACAAAGAGGAAAATGCAAACGAGATCTGAAAAATAGTTATTTTCCAAACCAATTATGCATCAAGCAAAAGCCCGCGGAATCATACATAGCCTGTGTTGCATACCAAACACCCGCGAGAAACGGTATGCTTCCTACGTCTTCACTAGTGTTTTGGCATGGTGGGGTGCAAGATTCCTAAAGTTATTCTCTGGTAATGATGGGTAACTTGATGACGCATCTGCGGTGCCCTATAGAGATTTGCATTATGTTGAAGCATCCCAGATGACTTCATAAAGTGTTCAGGCAACCCACAGATGATACACACTACTACTACTACAGGATGGCCTATCATCATAAGGCCTGTGTGTAACAAATCCCCCCCCTTCCCCCCCGTGCCAAATTAACGGTTGTGATGTAGGCAGCATATATTATTTCTCGCTTCGACGTAGGCTGTTTAAATAGCTGAATGACGTCGAAAATAGTAACATGTAACACACCAATATGGCGGCGATTATCAAAAACGAGGCTGATAAGTAATCCTTGTAGGTGACTATCATCCTTGCAGGTAACCCAGCTTCCCTCAAACAACCGGGTGAGGTGCTTGAGATTTTTGTGAGGCGTTTTTTTCACGGGGCGGAAGATTCGAACTACGGTGTAAACGTAAACCAATGTATAGATGACGTCATCATTTGTGAACGCGAGAAAATGGAAGGTTTGAATCATAGTTTTATGTCAACGGAGAACAAGCCATGGAGTCCGGTTCGAACTTTTTTGAACCAGATTCAATGTGACGTCACTGGTTCAATGCATGAATGTACAGATTCGAACCGAACCTAATTGAACTGAATCGAACCAGTTAGATCGCGAGAAAACAGCTTAAACTTTGAACTACACAGGTCTTATAAGTTGTATTCCTTTCACACCTAGGAGGAGCTCCGGAACAGCTCCGGGGCTTCACGCCCTTATTCCTTTCGAAAAGTGTTTGTCGTACCACGCATCTGTTCCCTGCAAATCGGGGGCTACTAAACACCGGAGCGAGTAGCTCGAGTGTTTCAAGCTCTTGAAAGGAATACGTCTATAAATGAGAGGCTATCTTGACTTGTTCTCCAGTGACGCACTTCAAGCAATCCTGAGCTGCACTAGAACGCCCCGGGCTGTTTATAGGCGTTCCAGTGCGAGTTTCGCGCAACTCAACTGTTCGTTTTTCCTCTCCCCTGCCCCTGCCCTCTCATGCACTAGCAATTTTATGGGCGCATCAAAAATACGACGCTTAAAGTAGGGTGCGTTCAAGTGAAACATCAGTTGCGAGATTTCTTTTTAAATCCGGAGGAAAAAGATTTATTCCGGATGCTGCGAAATGCAATAGTTGTATTCCTTTCAAGAGTTTGAAACACTCGAGCTACTCGCTCCTGTGTTTAGTAGCCCCCGATTTGCAGGGAACAGATGCGTGGTACGACCAATGAATTATAGCTAAAAACTGGAATGCGCACACATTAGTTGTATTCCTTTCAAGAGCTTGAAACACTCGAGCTTCTCGCTTCGGTGCTTAGTCGCTCCTGATTTGCAGGGAACATATGCGTGGTGCAACAAAAACTTTTCGAAAGGAATAAGTGCGTGAAGCCCCGGAGCTGTTCCGGAGCTCCTCCTAGGTGTGAAAGGAATACAACTTTTGCCATATCTGCCAAAAAAATGAAGCAATGAAAGATGCCACAAGGGGGAATATTGTTTTTTTCTGTTGCTCGCTGACATATGACGTTTTCGAAAGTTTTGTCATATTTCCCTTCACAGGTTTCATCAATTGGAATACGTGTTGGAAACAATTTTCGCTATTTAACATAATGAGTGCGACAAAAACAGGTATCCCCTCCGCAGCAGCCGCACTAGGCTTCAAGTTCGTCCTTATGTGTTAGCATTCCAGTTTTTGGTTATAGTTCATTGGGTACGACAAACACTTTTCGAAAGGAATAAGCGCGTGAAGCCCCGGAGCTGTTCCGGAGCTCCTCCTAGGTGTGAAAGGAATACAACTATTATGGGAACGGCCGTCAAATGACTCGTTCTGCTCCAAAGTGGGCAAAGGTCAAAAGAATGGTTGAAATCAAAAACAGCAAAAGTGGTAAAGGAACCTAAACTTGAGCACTTTCCAAAATTCACCGGTTGAATAAATCGGTCTCGCATCCGTTCAGAAACCGGTGAGTTTTGAAAAGTGCCCTTTCTAATAAGCAAATTGACATCCAGCTGTTTCTTGACACTTGACAGAGGGCAAATTCGCATCTTGGGAAAGTTCTTTGTTTGTTATGGTTTTTTTTTCTAGGCAAAAGTGAACTTTTCTCGATAGTTTTACTCGAATAAAATCCTTTAAAAGCTATTTCGTGTTGTCGGTACACTAACGCGAAGAACAATGTCGTTGCCGCAAAAATCCGGACTGTTGTCGCTGCCAGAACTTTGCTTGGAGCAAATTTTTTCGTTTTTAACGTACGACGAGATGGCCAAATACAGAATCGTAAGTTTTGTATATTTGCTTTTATATTTATCAGTATTTTCTTCGCATTTCCTATTGAAACTATTGATTTTTAAATAATGTTCTATTTTTGTTTGTTTGATTTTACATACAAAGCTGACCACCCTGTAATCTGTCAAAAGTGTCTTTTACGTTTTGACAGCTTCACATTTTGGGGTTAGAAAATTGGGCGCCAAATATATAAACAAACTATATTTTTTAAAAAATACTATTGAAATTAGTGAAAATATAATATAAAAATATGGACGTAGAAGATGACCCTTTGCTCTCCCTGCTAGCAGCGGTAACGGAAGAACTACCAGAAGACGTAAATAGTGAAACTTTAGCTAAAGCCGAGCCACCAACTTCTAGCAAAAGAATTCTAAAAGATGCTGATATCTTCCAAGATATAGATATAGATTCGGATTTACCAACGAAACCCCTGTCCACTGTGATTCATAATGGGGACACTGACTCATCCGATGATGAAGGTAATCGAAATTTCGAACTTAAACAATACAATGAATGTGGACAAGAAATAAAGAGGCTTTTAACTGACTCGATATCGCCTAGCCATTATGGGGCTCCAAAACAGAGAATCGCCCGAGGAACTCCTTCTTGGTTAAATAAGGCACCAAAGGAAAAACCACAACTCACAAAACCATCAATAAACCAAAACAAAAAAAGCCAATTTGGTGAAATCCCTCCAACAAAAAAAGAATTTCAAGATGTATTAATCGATCCGCATTTTTCACTGAGAATTGTAAACCCAAAAATTTCCTCTGCGGTGCTTCAAGAACGAATGCAAGGTCGTCTCGCAGTGAAATTCTCCGATTTATCCAGGCAAATATTTGCCGGCAATTTAAAAGACAAAGATTGGGTCATCAGTGGAGTGGTGATTCATAAATCGCCACCGAAAACTTCGCAAAAAGGTTCAGAGTATTCTATATGGACTCTGTGCGATTTGAAAGATGACATGAAAACTGTGGGGCTGTTTATGTTTAGTAGCGCCCATAAGGAGCTTTGGAAAACCATGGTCGGGAGTGTTGTTGGTGTGTTGAATCCTGGTATTTTGGAGAGAAGAGATGGATCCAAGGATCAGGTAAGAATTTTTGTTCTTGTAGTGGTACTATATTTATTGATATGTTTGAATTTGTTAAGGAAACAACAAAAAATATCATTTTCTGAGCAAAGCTGGATTCAAGGCTGGATTCATTCATACTCTTCTTAAGTTCTTAAGTACTTGTTAGTTTTTTTAAAATAATTTCCTAAAATTGTTTACTTATATTATTTCTATCAGATAATTCTTGAATCCATGTAAGAAGTACTTAATTTTAAGTACTTTTCTTGAAAATTGAACATTGAACTTTTGTGTCATAATCCCAAATTCACTCGTGTTAAGTTCTCTATATCCACTTTTTTTTAATTATCTAGCTAACTTCATGATTTTTTTGCTAGTATGTATTTCCAGTACAGTTTTCCTTGTAGTTTTCCAAACTCATACAAATCTTACCATGACTGAAATAAGTATTTCAGGAGAATCAGTTTTGTCATTTAAAAATGATTCTTTGGTAATACGAGATCTGATTGCAATGTTTTTTTTTTTTTCAAAAAAAATAACATTATTCTAGAGGGGTAGTAAAGAAGGTGCTTTTTTTTAAAAAATCAAGTGGTATAAAGTTGACTTCATAGAGTTTCTTATAATTTTTTACTGGACCAATTTTAAATTTTAGTATGATGAGGTCCTAACTTTCCTCTTTTCATTCCAAAAGGTTAATAATTTTCCCTTCACTTGTTCTTCCAAAAATCATCAATATAAGAGGATGCATCATTTTTTTAATTTAGTTTTTGAAAGTTGATTTTTCAGAATTTCTTATGCTGTGATTTTCGATTTTCTGCTGAAAGATTTTGAAATTTTGTTGTGATGGAATCATCAAAACAACCAAAACGTGAATTGCATGTTTCAATTAAGTTTTTGAAAGTTGAATTTCTAGAATTACTAATTACTTATGTTGTTGTTCACTGGATCAATTTTAAATTTTAGTATGATGGGATCCAGGATCCTAACTTTCCTGTTTTCATTGCAAAAGTTTAAAAATTTTCCCCCAACTTGTTTTTTTCAAAAATCATCAAAATGTAGGGCAGGAGCATTCAAAGTCAAAGATAAAATATGCTTTATTGTCGTGAACAAGTACCTAATTGTTATAAACAAAGCTCCCCTATACCTAAATGTAACAATATCAAATATTAAAACAAAAATATAAAAAAACAAAATATAAAAAAAATAGAAGAAACATAATATAGTAAAGAATTTGTTTATTTATACCATAAGTATCAACAGCTACAAACAGCCAATTATTATAGACACTCGCTTAGTCTGAAACTTTTAAATTTTTAAAAATACTTACGTTTCAATTGAGTGAAATTAATAATTTCTCTATTGAACCAAACAATGTCTATCAACTTAGCGAGACAACTTCGAAAAATCGATTTTCCGTTATGCCAAGAATTTGCCGCTTTTTTGCCGCTAATTAAATGTGGAATTAAAAAATTTGCCGCTCTTTTGGTTTTTTCTTAATTACGTGTTTTGCTAACTTGACGTCAAGATAGCGAGACAACATCACTAAATATGTCAGCAGTAGAAAATTAGGTAGATGAAAATTTGCCGTTTTTTTGCCGCTAATTAGTTGTGTAAACCAAAAATTTGCCGGTTCTTTTTTTTTCCATAAATAATCAAGTTTGAAAAAAAAAATCATTTGTTTCGCTAACTTGACGTCAAGTTAGCGAGACAATATCACTAAAAATGTCGGTAGTGAAAAATTGAATGAATGGAAATTTGCCGTTTTTTTGCCGCTAATTAGTTGTGAAAACCAAAAATTTGTCGCTTCTTTTTTTTTACAAAAAATCAAGTTTCAAAAAAAATCATGTGTTTCGCTAACTTGACGTCAAGTTAGCGAGACAATATCACTAAAAATGTCGGTAGTGAAAAATTGAATGAATGGAAATTTGCCGTTTTTTTGCCGCTAATTAGTTGTGAAAACCAAAAATTTGTCGCTTCTTTTTTTTTACAAAAAATCAAGTTTCAAAAAAAATCATGTGTTTCGCTAACTTGACGTCAAGTTAGCGAGACAATCACTAAAAATGTCGGTAGTGATAAGTTGAGTGAATGGAAATTTGCCGTTTTTCTGCCGCTAATTAGATGTGAAAACTAAAAATTTGCCGCTACCTTGCTTTTCATAAGAAAATCGTGTTCGAAAATAAAATAATGTCTTGCTAATTTAACGTAAAGTTAGCGAGATCACTAAAAATGTCGGTAGTGATAAATTGAGTGAGTGGAAAATATCGCGTTTGAAAAAAATATGATGTGTTTCGCTAATTTGACATCAAGTGAGCAAAACAGTATCATTAAAAATGTCGGTAGAGAAAAATGGAGTGATAGAGAAAAGCTGTGGAAATTTGCCGCTTTTTGCCGCTAATTAAATATGAAAACCCAAAAATTTGCCGCTCTTTTTCTCCATGAAAAAATCGTGTTTGAAAAAAACTTGTGTTTCGCAAGGTTGCCGTTAAGTTAGACCGACATCGTCGCAAAAAACGAATGGCAGTATAAAATTAGGTGAGTAAAAGGGTGTTCCGTTATAAATGATCTCCCACCCTTGATTTTTAATTTTTATGCACCCTGTAAGTATATTTTAATTAGTGAAACTCAACATTTGTTGGAACAAATATTTATTTCTAAATTTTTTGAAAATAGTTTTTCAGTTTTTTTTTTCTTTAGCTTAGGAAAACTCTATTGGAGGCCTTATAGATTTCAAAAATCAGAAAGCGAAATATCGTGTGCTCATTTATACAGAAAATAAAATAAAATTAGAAATAAAATTAAATTGGAATAAAATGGAAATTATCGATAATTTTTGGCAAATTTTCCCGAATGCATTTTTAGTTGAAAAAAAGCACGAGGGACGAGAGTGCCTTTTCCAGTTAAAAATGCATGAGAGCAAATTTCTCAAAAATTATCGATATATTTCCATTGCTCGAGTTGTATTTTATGAGAGAATTTCATGAATCAAAAATTTAAATTTTTAGTATATCCTCGTAAGTATAAAATGTCACCAATCAGAAAAAATGTCAAATGCCACCCGTTAGTTAAGCAATTATCCAATCCGATAATCTTGCACTAGTACAAATTATCACGTAATCGTAATCTGATTAGTTGAAATCAACAATTAAAAAAATGCCAGTTTATGCATGGGATCTGTGTCATTTGCGCGAGGGAGAAAAGTGCGATATAAAAAGCGCGAGGGACAAAATCACGACGGAACAAAAACGCGACAGGACAAATGCGCGATGGACAAAAACGCGACTGGATAGAAGCGCGAGGAACAAAAGCGCGAGGGACAAAAGCGCACGACTGCACAAAAACGCGACTGGATAAAAGCGCTAGAAGCAAAAGCGCGAGCGACAAAGCGCGAGGGGACAAAAGCGCGACAGAACAAAAACGCAGCTGGATAAAGCGCGATTGGCCAAGAACGCGAAGTGCCTTACTACGAGAACTGAAGATCGTTTTCCAAAATACAAGATATTTTCGGTGGCTCCGGTTCAAAAGAACGATATTTAAAATAGCAACATCAAAAAGGCGACATATTGTTAAAGCGATATATCAAAATAGCGACATATGTAAAGAACGAGATTCAGAACAGTGACAAATTAAAAGAGTGATTTACAACGACGACCTCTAAGCAAAAGAGGGAAACATCAAATTTTTCCAATATTAATCAAAATTATGTAGACTTAATCAAACTAACCCGTCCGTCTAGGGCAATCTCGTCCTCGTGAGTTAGCATTTTATTCAATTCAATTCAATTCAATTTTTATTGTTTCCAGAAAGTATTTTCTATAACAATGAGTGCTCTAAATCTAGTAAACGTAGTGGTTTGAATTACAAAAGCAAAAATAAAATTATAAAGGAGGGAATAGGTATAATTTGTTTTGAATTTGGATACGTATTTGTTATTAGAAACGAACAAAAAATAATAATAATCTAAATAATCTTAATCTAATTACAAAGCGAAAGATAAAGTTACTTGTATTTCTATGTATAAACTAAAAACCAGAAGGGTTCACATTTTGGTGCCTAATAAAAGTACCTATGGAAGGGGTCTATACAACAAAAAAAAGAGAGAAAGTTGATATTTCTAACAAATTCTAATCCTGCGATATCAAAAAGGATCGAAGCCTGAGGAATGACATTATGGTGGAAGCAAATGTTTTGGCAGATACTGGAGCTAAGGTTTCAAGTAAATTGAGAAATGAGTCAGGGCTCGACCATGTTAATGGTCTGACTTCTCTATACATTGGACATCTGAAAAGAATGTGGTCTAATGTCTCTAGTTCAGAGGTGTTACAAACTGTACATATTATGCGGGGGTCAAGTTTATAGAGGATAGAATTAAAGGTAAAAGCACATAGGTATTTGTTGGCAAGTCTTGTTTGCGCTATGAGTTTCAAAACAAATGTTTGTACTCTAAATGTTAAATAAGTAGCTGGATTTTTTGTTATTGATAAAAATGGATAAAAGATCATATAACTGGAATCTCTAGCCAAAGCAATATCTTTCCGAAAGGATAGCTCTCGGTATTTGTCAATTATTTGATCGATTTTTCGTCTAGTTACAAATCTTGGTGTTAAATTATTAATCAAAATATTATCAAAACCTGTTCCAGTAAGTACCAATTTGAGTTGCGATAGCCAGTTATATGCTAGCGGCGAGTCGATAAGCTGTAGTTGCCTTTTAAGGCAAATTAAGGGTAATCTGCTTTCATCCATAGAGAGCAACCTTTTGAGAAAGTTGAGAGTCCATTTAAGTATAGTTGTCGCTATAGGAGAAACGCCAAACTCCAGGCGAAGTATGGCTGAAGAGGTGCTTTTAGGCAGGGAAAGAGATTTTTTGAGAAATGATGTTTGTATCTGTTCAAGGACGTCTAGATATCTTAGGGCCCAGATGGGTGCGGACCCAGACATTATGTTAAGTACACACGTTTCAAATATTTTAAGTCTTGAAGTAATTGAAAATGATTTAGACTTTGATAGATGTGAAACTGCCGC